CAAATGTAAATTTAAATATGTGTATCTATGCCCCACGTATATAATTGTCACAAGCTACATCCACAGAGCCAATTTACCATTAGGCAGAGTAGGCACGTGCCTACAGGTGCCATCCATAGAGGGGTACAGTGCGGGCACTTACTCTGCCTAATTCCTGGCGTTGTCAAGATACAACACAGGCAATAGCAAGTAGAGTGCATTCTGCACAAAATGCACCTTCCTGTTCCAAGGCCAGCTGTGCATACAGTGACCGCCGTCTTCCGCAAACACCGGGGAAAGATCCTGGCGCTGCGTATGGCTGCCCTGTAAAACGTCTGTCTGATGTGGACAGATGTTTAGGGCAGCCTTACACGGCGCTGGGGTCCTTCTCTGCATATGTGAAATCCATCAGGTCTCGCAGCAGGTAAGGGCGCCGGCTCAGGCCTTCAGGCACCCGAAATAGAAATCTGCCGCTGTACATTCACACCTAATTTGGTACGTGATACGATTACATTGGGGTTAGGAATCAATCACCATCGCTAGACCCATCGATCACACTTAATCTCCCCCCTTATCATGTAACTCTGATGAACCCTTAACACATAACCTAACTCTAACACTTAACCTGTAACTTAAGGCTAGGTTCACACCAGATGCAGTGCGTTCCGGCCCAATTTTGGCCAGAACGCACTGCATCGCATTGCGGCCGCCTCACATTGTGCATGCGGTGCGATCAAAATAGTGTTTGCAGCATTTTGATCGCACCGGACAGCAGGCACAATGTGCTTTGCGATCCGTGTGGGTGATCGCATTGCGGCTGGAGGCCGTGGCTACGGTGCCATTCACTTCAATGGCCCGCCACACCCCCTCCTGCCCCGCAAAAAAGTGAGCCAGCCGCAAAGTGATGCAGTGCATTTGGCCAGAATCGGGCCGGAACGCCCTGCATCTGGTGTGAACCTAGCCTAAGCCTTATAATTAACCCTCTGATGGCTAACCTAACCATTAATATGACCCCTTCATATTTCATCCAATCCCAACACTTAACCCTATCCCTCCCCCTAAGGCCTTGTTCACACCAAATGCAGTGCAGATCGGCTTAGGTTTCTGCACACACAGTGCACTGGGTTGTGCTGTGTTTTGCCGCGTTTTTGATGCATTCCGAGCCGTTTTTGGTTAAAACATTTTTTTTAGTTTAAAGGAGAACTATGACATGAGTGATTTCCACTCACCTCATAGTTCTAAGCCGACCTGTGACAATGAGACTGTCACAGGTCGGCTCAGTAGATCGGGAGGTGAGGGAAAACATACCGGGTTCCCTCACCTCTCGATCCTGTCACGGCTCTCTGCCGTGACAGGGGGAGGGGCTGGATTCCCCTCTCCCCGCTCCGATCTGCCAGCGCTGACTGGCGGAACGGATGGGGGAGGGGGCGGGTACAGCTGGCTCTGCCTCTAGATAGGCAGAGCCAGCTGTCACTCACGCAGCTGGGCGGATCCCGTCATCTAAGTCGGGATCCGCTCCAGGTGCGGCGTCTCAGTATACCGCAAGCTGTAGCTCGCGGTATACTGAGCTTAGGGTGACGGGAGGACGCTAGTTTGTGTCCTCCCGTTACCCCAAGGAGAACTATGGGGAAAAACACTGACCCCATAGTTCTCCTTTAACATGGGCTTTCAGTGCGTTCCAGGGATTTGCATGCGTTTTTGATGCATTTGCAATTGTTCCAGAGCAGGTAAAATAGGGCTTGCTGCAGTTTTGGACCTGCTCTGGAACTGCAAGCTGCGATGTGAACTGGAGCAAAAAATACCATTGGAATACATTGGACGCAGTTTTGATCCGGTCTGTAACTGCTCTACTCTGCACCTTCTCTGCGCTTGGTGTGAACAAGGCCTAACTGTAACCTACGCTTATAAATAATCCCCTTAACCCTTGACCCTTTGCATAATGTAACCATTAGCCTAACTCCTGATTAACTCCAAAATCTTTATACTTGCTTTATCAAACCTCAAGATCTCATATATAAAGATCTCAGCACGAACAGATTGCATGAAATATGCTTATTTTCCACATTTATGAACATATTTTTCTCTAACTACATATCTAATGTATAAAATAAAGTGCAGGGAAAAACATTATTGAAGGCTGTGTAGTTTCCATGTAAAGGCTATATAATAGTAATTTCTTTTATAGTAAATATTTAACCCTTATTGTCACCTGGGTGTATTTGCTTGGCCTGTCAAATAGCAGTAAATATTGTGTAAAACAAAACTCAAACAATTCATCCCCACACAGCTACCTCCTTATGTATCACTTGCACCTCCCTTTTAGATTGTAAACCATCAGGGTCCTCCTTACCATCTTGTCTTGAATTGTATTGTGATTGTAATGTCTTCCTTATATTGTAAAGCGCTGCGCAAACTGTTGGTGCTATATAAATCCTCTATAATAATAATAATAATAAAAAATAATCCATAGTTACTTAACCAGAATACCATCCAAAAATTAAAAGGGGTGTACTGTTGCAGACAAATCTCACCACCAAATTTCTTGACCAAAAGAATCTTAGCGGAACTGTTAGAATATATAGGAGCTCTATTGACACCACCTCTTTATGTGTTGCATAGGCAGAGTTGGGAATTTGTCTGCTTTTAACTGGAATTTCATTGGCTGTGAGGGATCCCTGCTCTTTGAAATGCCTTTCTGAATGAGCTTGCATTATGCTAAATCCAAGCTCAGTCACTGGAATTTGTCTCCTGAGCAGCTTTATGTTTATGAAATTGTTTTCCTGGAGATGATAGGGATTCTAGCGCTCGTCTAATGTAAATCCATCACAGCACAGCGGGGAGCTTGGTGCTTTACAGAGACTGAACAGACGTACAATATTTCTGATTGTTTCTATTGTTTTATACTAATAGGAGCATCGTACATGACTGTGTTTGTGTGCTCTCTCCTAAAATGAAGGCGCTTTTTGGACCCTGACATATTCACTTTACATTTTAGGGTATATTTATAAAAGCGTAAATGTGACTTTCACCAAACACTGGTGATGAATCAATCATCATCATCATTTAAAACACATGCACCTGGAAGATTGACCTGCAGAAAATATTTGGTGAATATCAGATTCTCTGCTTTATAAATATGCCCCTTTGTGTACTATGTGCCACGAAAATGCAGGTACTGGAGTTTCTGGTAAATTGGAGTGGTTTTTAAAGTATTTATAATCATGTTTTCTAAACTTGGAGCAGGTACAGCAGTGATGGCCAACTTTCTTGATAAATGGGGCCTCTAGAGCAGCCCCTGGCATCACCAAAGGGCCATACATAATAGTCAATGAATGTAATGCTACATAAAGCTGACTTAGATTGCAGGCATGCTACATAAGATGGTCAGAGGCTATAGGCATGCTACAAAAAATGGCCAGAGACAACAAACATGCTACAGGAGATGGTCAGAGGCTATGGGCATGCTGCAAGAAATGGCCAGAGACAACAAACATGCTACATAAGCTGGTCAGAGGCTATGGGCATGCTACAAGAAATGGCCAGAGACAACAAACATGCTACAGGAGATGGTCAGAGGCTATGGGCATGCTACAAGAAATGGCCAAAGACAACAAACATGCTACAGAAGATGGTCAGAGACCGTGAACATGCTGTATGAGTTGCTGCAGACTAGGGTTATGGTTCAGTACATGGTCAGTGAATGGAGGCATATCATATGTTAAAGATCACTTCTATTATAGCCCATTTACAACTTAAAGCGATATTACCGGTAAACCTTCTTTTTTTAAAAAAATATTTGTTTGCCTGGGGATGTTGTTCTTTTTCTTTAAAAGTTTTAAATTCCTTATTTTCTAGTGGGTCCCCCTCAGCACTCTTCCCCCCCGCCTCCTAATCACCTAGGTATTAAAAACACAGACTACTGTCTGCAGGGGCTCCAATGACCCACAATAACTGTCAAAGGGCTGCAGGTTAGGCACCAGGAACGTAGAATATACCTTTAGCTTTTGCTATGAGGAGACGTATGAGGTTCCTGTTGAATTATACATTGAAATATGTTTCACTACGCAGTATCATTATTACAAGTGCCAGTCCAACTAACACTAGTATTTCAGTTATGAGAAGACTAGTGACTGGAACCACCAACTGGCTTTCTATATTCTATGTAAAGCCCAGAAGTCAGATTTTCCCTACAAAAAATTATACGCTGATACCCATTGCTATAGGATTTAACCCTACTGCTGTTTTAGAGATAGTCCTATATTCTTTCTTCATTGTCTGTAATAATAATAATAATAATACTTTGGGGTGGGGGATAATTTATAAAACTTCTGCTCAGCCATACGCTCAGCGAATGCCATTCACATGGCATTCCTGCCACTAGATGGAGTATAGGAATTTCCTATGCTCCTCAGCTGCTTCTAGTTGCGGTAATAAATTGCACACAGCATTTGCCTAGCATTTGACTGGGTAGAAGTTTTTATAAATCAACTCCATGAAGAATGAAACACCCTAATACAGGCATCAGAAAGTGGCCTCATCCACATGTTTCTGAAAATCTATTCCTGGAAGATTTAGGAAACTGGTGGGTATCTACAAAGGTTACCACATTTTCTGTGAGAAAGTAACAGTCCTATGACCCCTTTTCTATTATTGATATCAGTGATTTGTCCTATATTGACTGTCCAGGCCAGTAGACTACTGACCAAGGGGAAACCCTAGTGTTTCCCCTTAAGTGGAATATCATTTTTGAGTAAATTGACACTTTACATGAGACAGGCATACTTTAGATCTTGTTCTGAGCCAAGATCAATAATGACCACACCGATTCTTAGACTGCTGAGCAAGAGATGTCTTCAGCCAAGTGGTTAGCAGTTTGTCATTCAGTATTGACCAAGTCTCTAAATACAACTGTATGTTTTTTGCTGTGTATCAGTAACTCGCCATTAGTGTTCAGTCTGATGTTCAGACATGTTCATGCCTGTATCATTAGTTATTTATTTTTTGTAGCTTTTGTGTTGCAGGGGCACAACATTTTCTCCAACCTGTCATCGCACCAGTACAGCGACCTCATGCAGCTTCTGAAGCAGTCCATCCTCGCCACGGATATCACACTTCATTTTGAGTATGTATTCACTTTTTACCCGTGGTCACAATAAATATCTCCTTATTATAAATATTAACTTAATGATATAAGTTGACCTTTTTTACTAACCGAATTAAAAAGAAAATGTGTCACGTCTAAAATATTGTATTTATTAATCGGTTTGATGTAACTAATAACATTTTTTTAATATACATTGACAAAATGTTTTTTCAGAGCTATGCTATTCCATGGGGACAGTCTGACTCTCAGCTGAGAGCCTGGTTTGCAATACAGGGCATTCTTTCAGTGTGACATTTCTCTTTCCTCCAGCCATGGCTGTTAATAATATATGTGATCTCAGGAAGTGAAGTGGGTGAGCAGACAGTTAAAGGCTTTCTTACTATAACCTGATTTTAATGTAGATTAACATAGGTTTTTGGAGGCTTTAGATATGACAATGTATTATGGGGCCCTATAACATAACAAAAGCTAAGTGACAGATAGAGACGATTTTGCTGTTTTGCTAAATCATCATTTGCTTGTATAAGATATCATTTATCTGCTAATGTTACATTGCAGCCTGTGTAGCGGTGGCATTTCATTCACAGCGCTACCTTGCAGTGCAAACTTACAGTTGCTATATACTGTACAGTAGATGAGCTCAAATGTAGACTTCCTTTAGGTGCCTGATATTAATCACAGTACAGTAAACCCTCTGTTATGCGGTATTCAACTAACCAGAACTCTCATCTAACCGGAAAAAAAAGAATCCCCTGTGTGCTCACTGTTCTGCTGATCTGCGGCATGTATTATTCTGGAAACAATCATGTGCCTATTTGCCATAATTTGCTTTTGATTACTGCATTTCAATATTAATATGAAGTCAATACAGAGTTTATGTTATGGTATAGTATGGGGTATGGCATTAGTTAGACCTATTTTTAATAGTAACTCTCAAGCAACCATTAAAAACAAAAGACACGAACAGCGCTCTCGGATGGGGCCCCAGGGGCGAATAACTAACTAAAACACGCAGCCCTGGGAAACAGCAGCAGAACCTGTGAATGCAATAACAACAAAGGAACACAAAGGGCGCGAGGACAATGGAGCACTAGCTAACTTGGCAAATCATAGCAAAAAAATATTTGTGTAAACACTTACATGTAGGTCCAGGGACCAGAGGAGGGACGACCTGTATGGAGGATTGGGACACCCGTGGTGGGTGCCCGAATCTGGCTGGTGTGTTTCCGGAAGAAGTTCGTCCACAGGAGGGAGCAAAAGACTGTGAGCAAGGAGTGGGAAGCGGAGCGGGGACTCAGTCCGTGACACCACTATATGAATGAGGGATATGAGCGGTGTGAAGGAAACTCAGCGGTGCAGGCTAAGCTGCTGTGGCCGCGGCTGTGAATGTCAGTGCTGGGTCTCTGTCTGGAGCAGTGTGCCGGAGCCGGTGTGACAGAATGCCGGCAGGCGGCGGGCGATCCGATCCGTAATGGTGATGAGATGGATGTTGTTAAAGGGGGGAGAGAGCAACGCGTTTCGAGGTATCACCTCTTTCTCAAGCTCGGCTAGAACGGGCTGATTAACTGACTCCTGTCTAAATTTGCCCTGGTAGGTGTATGTATGCCTGTGAAATAGGGGCCGTAGATTGTAAATTTCTTGAGGGCAGGGGCTGATGTGAATGAATAGCGTTCAGGTAAATTGTCAGCGCTATATAAATACCTGTAATAACAAATAAACGAGAATCACTATAGTACCTGACACGCTGAAAATCTATGTACTTGCCTCCATCATTCACTACATAATGCTAATGGACAGCAAGGCTGATGAAGAAGCAGAGCAGGCAAAGTCCCCACTGCATCATGGGAGCTTAATAATTTTTTTGCAGGTTTAAACCTGTTGAGCTATAATGTGCAGAAGGAATAAGACCACATGCAGGGAAAATTTGCATAGATGTAGCAGGCATCTATTCTGGGGGATGCAAACACAGTAATGGACAGTGTCAATGGGCTCTTACTCGCTTTAGAAGTACTACTCTCCCCATACAAGTTGATGGGAATGCAAATGCAGCTGAAGCAGGTTGATGCAGCTTAGAAGGAGGTTAATCCATGCAAGCACAAGGGGATCGTGCAAACTCCATGCACATAGTGACCGGGATTCTAACCAGAGACCCCAAAAGTGATAACCAATAAGCCACTATGCTGTGCACTCATTTGAACAGTTGGGGACATGTGCTATATAATTACAGCTAGCTTTAATTCTCTTTTAAATAGAAAATATATCTTTCAAATGGATCAGCAGTGACAGCTTTCCTTTAGGTGAACTAATGCTATAACTGTGTGATACTACAAAGAGCATGTGTTTCCTTTTACGCAATTTTTTAAATAAATTACTGTGGTAACATATTGCTGAATGTTAAAAAATGAGCATCGGATCAGTTTTTACTTATTTACTTGATGGATTAGAGGACATGCATGGAAGTATTTTAATTAGCCATTGATGATGTAATAATATTGGCTACATTTAAAAGGAGTGTAACGGTGTCTAAGTCAAAGGCCTAGGGAGAAAGATGGTATGCTATGTGCAAATACAGCATTCCTATTCAATATATATATATCTATATATATAGATCTATATCTATATATAGATCTATATGTAGATCTATATATATATGTCTGTGTGGGTGGAACCATATATCTCTTGTAGAAAGTCTTATCTTATTCCACTAGCAACATGTTTCTGCTTCTCCAGATTTTACTTCTTGTTTTTCTGTTGTCATCATCATGATCATTGCATCGTTATCATGCATTATATCACTTATACTTTTAGATGCTTGTATAACAAAGGCATTTTTAATGATGGTTTTCTTTACATTTAATTTTTTTATTATTAAGAAAAATTTAAGAAGTACATGTAAAAACATGTAGTGTACTAATTAAAGTTCTTATACACTCACATTTGGCTGCTATGGGTTGAGCTGGCTATGGCTCCTAGATAAAAGCTACTGTTTTGAGGGTCATGTTGCTGCTGCCACAACAGTGACAATATGATTCAGGCTCGATTCTAGATATGTGCGCCAGCAAAAAATGTGTTTTGTTTCGGATTTTCATTATTTCGTTTTTTGGGGATTTGGGTCCAAAAGTCAATTTGTTTTGTTATTCGGATTCACCTGAACTTGAGATTTTTGTTAATTTTGGATCATTAGAGAATTACGAACAAATTTTTGCAGCAAAGTGACATTAGAAAAAAATAAATTAATTAATTTTAACTTTTGACAGTCCACAGAAACCATAACAAAAGAAAAGTTCAGGGTCCTCCCCCCCCCCCAATAAAAGCTACTGTTTTGAGGGTCATGTTGCTGCTGCCACAACAGTGACAATATGATTCAGGCTCGATTCTAGATATGTGCGCCAGCAAAAAATGTGTTTTGTTTCGGATTTTCATTATTTCGTTTTTTGGGGATTTGGGTCCAAAAGTCAATTTGTTTTGTTATTCGGATTCACCTGAACTTGAGATTTTTGTTAATTTTGGATCATTAGAGAATTACGAACAAATTTTTGCAGCAAAGTGACATTAGAAAAAAATAAATTAATTAATTTTAACTTTTGACAGTCCACAGAAACCATAACAAAAGAAAAGTTCAGGGTCCTCCCCCCCCCCCAATTTATACCAGACCTTTTAGGTCTGATAAGAATTTTAGGGGGACCCCAACTCAAAAAAAAAAAAAGAACTAAAATCCTTTACCAGACCCTTGATCTGAGCAGCAAATAGTCCCAAATGTCAACAAATGGGTGGAACAAGTCTTGTGACGTAACAGATTAATTTGAGTTACATTTTAGGCCCCATACACACATGGGTGTTTTTAACAGGCATATATTTGTACAGGTGTTTTTGAAGCATTTCAGGCATCACTGTTTTATTTTATTTTTACTTTTAGCCAATGCAAAGCCCGTTACCAGAAAAATAAATGCTTGAAAAACACACCTTTTGTGCATTTTTTAGTGAAGGGGGGTTAGAGCCCAGAATCATATTGATATGATTGTGCAATCAATCATTCAGTACGACTAACCTGTTCAAATTGAGTAAAAATTGCAAACCAAAGACCCTCCATTCAACTGGTTTAGTAATCATTTGATCAATTTTGACTATGCCAACTTGATAACCATTGGCTGAATTTCATCATACGATCAGTATTTTCATTGTTGTGATTGATGATGAATCGCTTGTACAAAAAGTAAGTTTTTGTACTTACTAGAATTAGTCATGTTGGAGGATCTTAGGTTCTCTTAAGTCACTAAGCACATACACCAACAGACTGCTACCCCATCACTGAGAATATACATATTTCACCTTCAACCACTGCAAAGGTTCTGGCACGCCTTCAGGTCACCTTTGTATGCAGGTATCTGGTGTTTCTTGAGGACGACTACCTTTAGATTATCTGCGACACTGACTGCATTTTAAAGAGAAGCAAAAGTGCCTTTACACATTTGCATGACTGTGCATACCAAAGACCCTGATGAAAATGTAGGCGCTAGTTAATGTGAGACATCCATGCTTCCTTCCTCTTGCCATTTCTCCCCCGGTGAGGCTCTTAATGTCCTTGTCATGCCATGAATCTGAATGAGAGAAATTCATTTTGTTTTGAGCTTATGACTTTGAATCCTATTAGTAGCATTTGTAATATGCATTTATGTCACATTCCAGTTCGCCTTGACCACGCAGCATAAGCCTCTTTCATTTTATTCCAGCAATCTCTGTATTAGCTGGAGTAATGAAGAAAAAAAAACCTATAAAAATTGCAGCGATTTGCCATATGCTGAGACAGCCTGCTTGTCATCTGAGTGGTTTTCACATTACACACATGGATTATGCCAGTGTCGAATCATAATTCAGATGGCGCAAGATTATTCATTTTTGTGAAGTGTTTCCAATTCTACACATTCATCTAAACCATTGTGACAAAATCTGATTTTTCAGAAAGAAAATAAAAAAGTCAAATATTGTGACACTGTTCACTGCACAAATACTAATAACTA